TTAAACATCAGTTTTTCACTTATGGAGCAAATCAATCATTGTTAAAATAAATTACCAACATCTCCATGCTGTCTAGATGCAATATGTGTATTTTCAGATTTTTGTTTCGATAACTGAATTTTTTACAGTGGTTTGAAATCTGCTTTTCCATGCATGGACAGCTGCTAAACCTGCACGTCTGGCTTAGTCAGTTTGTGAAGCTACACATGAATTGTCACTGACTAATTAGCTCAGTGAGATAGAAATTGATTCTTAGTCTCAGAGGTTGTGAGTTCAAGCCTCAGCTGATGCAAAAGGCAAATTGTGTTGCTAAATGTCTTCCAGTTCTTCTGCTTGTTGCTCAGAATTGTCTAAAAATGCCCGGACCCGACCCATCGCTGCACAGCAGCTATAATTATATCTTAGAATCTGACCAAGATAAGTTCTGAGCAAAACATTGTCCAGTGTAAACTTTTCTGTGAGGGACAAAATTGTGACTGGTTCTTCTTTACAAAAGCATAGTTTGCCAATTTAGTCCTCTAGTTTGCAGTTAACTAAAAATGACTAGTTTTTCTTACCTGGTTTCACCTGAATGCATAATAGATGTCCGAACAGGTAAAATTCACAAAGATAGAAAAGATTAGTGGTTTCCAACTGGTGGGTTGCAGCCCAAAAGTGGGTCGCGGGTCCATTCTGTATGGAACTCACGAATATGTCAAGGCAATGGCAAGGGGTTTTTTTGTTTGTTTTTGCTGTTTTGTTTTGTTATGAGCTCTTCTTACTGGTTTAACGTTGCTTGAAAAATGTGATGTCACACTGTTCAGCGCACCTCAGGATTTAGCAACACTTAAATTTCAAACCAAACAACACAGCAACTGTCAAACAAATCTCTTTCAGAGTCCTTTTAAAGCCCAGCCCAGACCAAAGAGTCGCGATGTGACAAAACAATTTTAGAGCGTTGCAGAGAAAAGTGTCAGCGGTGTGAACTGGCCGGTCTGAGCTCGACTCAAGCCGGCTGATGGTGTCAGCTGACACTGGCTGGTTTTAAAACACCTCACCTGTTTCAACAGCCAATCAGCTTGTAGTGAAGTCCGCTGGTCAAATCAAAATGACCGCAGACGGCGTGTTTGCTTTCTGCGAGAGGTGCTCCTTCCCCGCTGAGCCGGCTGTTATATTATTGTGTATTGATTATGAATACAGTCCATCTGATGCTGGTTTTGTTTCATCACTGTAGCCAGTATCTCACTATCACTATCCTCATTCAGATTTTAAGAAGCTACAAATTATATTCAGCCACAAAATAAGTCTGAAAAGCTGCAAATCAGAAAGAAGTACAGAGAGTTGTTGACTAGAGATGATGCGCCGTCTCATGGTGGTCACTTCCTGTCAACGTTACAGATCAGAAGCACAGAGAGTTGTTGACTAGAGATGATACACCGTCTCATGGTGGTCACTTGGTGTGAACCAGCAGGTTTTTACAATGTTACAGAACAGAGTGTTGACAGCAGTTGCCTGTTACAACTCGTCTCGATGCAAATCTTTGGTCTGACCTGGGCATGTGAAACTTTTAATAATATCTCAAAATCTTTTTTGTAACTTAACTGTTCCTCATTTTGTTTTTAACATTTAATATTATGGTGAAACACTTAAAAATAATAGTGAAATAAAGACACACTGGTATTGTATCAGAATCTGAGGAGAAAAAACAACCGTCTATATTGTGATAATGTAGAATTATATTATTGGCACTTTGAAAAGAGACACTGGAGACAAACCGGTTTGTTCTTGAATTTTGTTTATTAATGATTCCATTTTTCGTAAGAACTTGGTACAAAAAAGTGAGACTACTCTTTAATCATTTACCAACTTCCATCAACCAACTTTTTAATGCATCATAAAGAAGAAAAAACTACATTGGCATATTTAAGACAAACACTTTCCTATACACACTATCCACTGGACAGTCCCCTTATTAATGACAAAGAAAAAACTTCTACTTCAACAGCCAACAGACATTTTAATTTCCATCTAAACGTGTCGTCATCATCACCTCGTCGCCTCCTCATGGCAAAATAATACATCGAACGTTGCAAGCTAGAAGTCAGAATGCAGAACTGGCAAACAATAGAAAATCCAATGTTCTGTTTTCTTTTCTCTTTTTTTGCTCCTTGATAAAAGAATATAAAAATGTTCTAACTTTTTTTTCTTATTTGTTCAAATGTTGTGTCGTGTATTAAAATAGATCTGTTTAAGCACTGCACAGTTTCTCCCGGAGAAGATTTCTAGAAACGGATGAGGAGGTTTGGGGATGGTGGATGCTTTTGTTTGTTTTTTTTTTTTTTTAATTCTTTTTAAACATTTTCTTAGGGTTTGAAGGGCGGAGTATCGACGCGGCATGAAGCACTGATATGGTTTCCATCTTGGAGTCTGGTCACAGTCCTGCAGCTCTCAGGTGAGGACTCGATATGCATCACATGGTACATTCTGAGAGATTTCACGTCTCCACACTGATCATGATTTATTCAGTTATAAAGGCAAGTCAGGTACAATGTTAATGCATATCTGCTGTTTATCGCACAGATACAGAGCCTGGAGAGTGTCGGGTGAATGTTTCCTCTGCTGATTAAGGTGAGTTGTGTGCTCAGTTTAATTCTTTTGAGTCGTTAAAAGATTCAAAATTTTGATACTAACTTTTTATGAACTTGGTAAAATCTGTTGGATCCTTAAAAGCTCTTACGTTGTAAAAAAAATATGGTGTTTTCCCCGCAGTGTTTTTAAATGGAGGCAGCCTGCCTCGCCTGAAATAAAGACCACCTCTGCTAACATCAGAAAAAATCTTTAATGACACAAAATATTCTTTTGGTTAATCTTTGATGCAGAAAATGCCACACTAAACACTGAGTGCTACTAAGTGATCATGATATGAGATGCGTCGGGATTTAGGTGGCTGACTGCCTCGGGTAAACACTTTCATCAGGGTGTTTGGTGCGTGCTCAGTTTAATTCTTTTTGAGTCGTTAAAAGCTCCAAAGTTGATGCTAACTTTATACAAACTTGATAAAACCTGTTGGACTGTTTAAAGCTTTTACGTTGTAAAAATGATCCTGTCAATATGTTGCGTTTTTAAATGGAGGCAGCCTGCCTCGCCTGAAATAAAGACCACCTCTGCTGACATCATAAAAAATTACTTGTTTACTTGTTACCACTGAATAAATCCAATAGTTGAATTAAGCGTAAAGAACTGAACATTTTTTTTACTTTCTGACTTCAGTTTTTTCCTTGGGGAAAATATTAATTGGAGGCGGTCAGCCCGCCCCAGATCATGACGCGCCTCATCTTGTAACAGTCTGCAAGTTCATGGCACACTTTTGTCATTTGCTGTGTGAGATACAATTTCTGCTCTTTTCCCTCTCATGGTAAATGTTTTATTTCATAAATGCTTATTTTATTCTTTTTTGAGGATAAAAGCAAACAGGGTTTCTTCATTTCAGGCGAGGCAGCTCAACTCTGCTGCGAAAAGCTCTGAGGGAACATCTATGGAAACTAAATCAGTACTTTGAGGGGACATTCAGAAAGCTTCCCTCCTCACACTGACCAGGCTCTGTATTCTGATAAAGCGCATTATATAAATATGATTTAAAACATAACGTGTGCATTTGGCTCAGTGTTGAGTGACAGCGGGAACAGAACTTTGTGTACTGTGTTTTCACACTGCGTACAAATCGAGTTCACCGTGTTCGGACACAAAGACTACGATCGCTTCTGAAATACAGCAACAAAAAAAGTTTCTCAGCAGTTTTCTGAACAAACAAAACGATTTGTCTGGTGATTTGACGTCACTGCTCGCTGTGTGAAAACACAGATTACAGTTGCACAATTTGTAATTTTAGAAAAAGTATTTTAGTTCTGTGTACCTTTAAATCCAAAGTATTTTCTGAATAACAAGCAGACACTGGTTCCAGCCTCTCGAATGTGAATATTTCATTTCTGTTGTCATAGTAAACTCAAATTTTTAACTATTGAAAGATATCAGCTCAGACTATGGGAAACTGTTTTAATTAATTTCTCTTAGATTTAACTACTTAAAAAAAAAAAATTATCAAAAAGTTGCTGATTAGGCCATATTTATTTATTTATTTACCATGAAATTGTTTTAATTGAAGTTTTACAATATTAATTTTAAGGCTCAAGAAACTGAAGCTGGATTTTTGCTTGTTTTAAGGGCTGAATTAAAATGAAAAATGCTTTGGATAAAAAGGTACACGGACGTACAAAAGTCTACACACTGGGGCCTTTTGTATTTCTTCAATAGTATTAAAATATGTTTCTTTTGAGGGTAAAATCATGTTGTGGATCTGTTCTGATGCCATATTGCTCGTCTTTTATCCTCTTTTCCTTTTACTCTGTGAGTCAGACTTGCTCGCTGCCACTGATGCCACAGATGCACCAGTATATATTAAATTTTTTGTGCCGTACAGACGATGCTTCTCCATCAGTAAGGATGTCTTCAGTATCTTGGATACGTCAGAGACCAAACTCAGGTGACCTGGATATGATTAAAACTTAAATAAAACCACTTCTTCTCTGTTTAAACTTCACAAATTCCCTCTTTTCTTTCGATAAAGGCATTTTTTTTCTCTCTGGATCATTTAAACCATTTGTTCATGTTTGTGCATTAACAGCAGAGAGCTGCACCTCGACTGTGTGGTGAGTACAGTTTGATAAATAAATTAAAAAATGGACTAAATCTATGTTTTAACACTTAAACTGAACCTTTCTGGACCAGCAGGAAGACTAGCGAGACAAACGGACGGAGCAGGACAGGATGTCGCCGTCCTGGTTCGATTCTCAGCTCATCTGTACTGAGACACCAGGAGGACGCCATCGCCGTCCTCCGAGTCCACCGACAGTCAAAAAGTGTTGCTGCAGTTTGACACAGTTGTCCCATTTCTGATTGACTGGTGTCTATAAAATGACGCAACAAAGACGAAAACCCTGGATTTGAAACGATTTGTACTTGAGGCAGTGTTCATCTGTCAGATTAACAGGCTCGTCACCGTTAAAACGTTCATAAAACACGAGAGTAAAAAAAGCTCCAATGCAATAATAAAATATAAAATAGGCAGGGAGAGAAAAAAAGAAAGCACTATAGACATTATTGATGATCCCAGTACAAAAACAAAGAAAAAAGTTTTTGGCATATTTTCTATACTGGTTTAAAGGGGGAAGGGACTGAATGGATGCATCACACATCGACTCTGACGTGTTCGAGTGCAGCTGTGAACAAACAACACTTTCGTCCCTTCTTCTGTTTAACCCTTTGTTTTCTGTCACTCTTAACACACCAAGGATATTACTGTCATGTCATGTTATTGAGATGCAGAAACAAAAGTGACCTGAAACCTGTTTTGGACCCAATCACAACTTAATTATTTCATTTTTGACATTGACGGTTACAAAATTAAAACGTTCTGTATGTAACTTTCAGTAAATCCCTCTGAGGCCCGTAAGCGCCAGAGACACCTGGGCAACAGTGACAACAAAAGACTGATGACATCATGTTGACAGAAGGCAGGAAAATACATAAAAATCATATTTAGAATAACGTTTCTATCTGCAGTGTTTCTATATTTCATTCGCAATTTTGGCTCCATGATACTAAGTAGCTAACTGTTTGCAAATGACTTTATTAGCTAACGTTACAAGCAACCAACTGCAGACCCACGTAGCGTAACCAACTAACAGCTAGCTAGCTAACCTTAGCTCAGGTTACAGTTAGCTCCTTTGACACCCCTGCATCGCACTATGCTAGCAGAAAGCATTAAGTACCGTTGTTAGCTAAATCAACAAAGTTTGTCATAATTCGTAAATTAGTATCATGGATCACGTTAGCTGGGGAAGCAAATTGGCAAGCTAACAAACTAACATTCACTCAGATTGCATTTTGCTAGCAAAGATGTTAGCATGCATGCAAGCTAAGGTTAGCCAGCTAGCTGTAAATAAGCTACGTTGTATTAATTGGTTGCTGCATAACGTTAGCTGATTAGGTAATTTGTTAACGGCAAGATCATTAATTTACCAGCATAAACAGCCCTGGAGTCTAAATGAATAAAATGATGTTAATCACTACAGACAGTATTTTGCTACATTAGCTAGCTAGCAATTTGTCCATGATAGCAAGCAAGCAACATTAGCTAACAATAGCCAACTAAATCCACAATATTGCAAAACATTTCACTTGTCAGTGCTTCCTATAACTTTAGCATTTATTTTTTAGCATGAGGAGGAGATGGAATTATGATACGGGGCCCTGAATTTAATGGATTTACTGTTTATCAGACGACAAATGAGACAAGAATTAGCTAGCTAGCACAGCCTCACGCCTCGCCACTAGGACACTAATTCCCTGGGAGGAGAGCGGGCAGCAGCTCAGAGCTTAGCTGGATTCACAGCTGTCTGGTAGCAGCGCGGGGTCTAATCCATGTAACTGCAGCGAGACAAAGTTAGCTGACCGGCGGGATTCAAGGCAGCACGGGATCAGACCCCTGGTGCTTAGGCACTCGATCTTGCTCTGACGAACTTTGAGTAGCAACAGGATGCTAAATGAAAGTTCACCTCTGTGAAGCCATCACGGGATATACAATGGAAACAACACCTGTGGACTCGTGCGTTGTAGTGGGTGTCTGTCGTTAGCAGACTCCATTTCTTAGCTAACGTTAGCTACTATTGCACTCTGTTAGCACTGTAACGGAGCTAAAAAGAGGCAAGACACATTCAGCAATGCGCATAGTGTCACATCCTTCAGATTTTCCCAGTAAATTCAGCCCTTGGTCACTCACTGGCATTAAAAAACAATACGTGTGAAAAGTTACATACAGAAACTGTATCCCGAATTATATAAAACTGCTTTTGACTTGTTTACCTTTTCTAATATTTTGGATCCTTGCAGAGAAAACACTTTAACACTTACAGCAGCCAAATTTCAATAAAATTAATTTCCAAATTAGTTTCTTTGGATCCATATTATTAACTGTTTTTATTATCACTATAATTCGTTTTTATTTTTAAGTTCAGCTTTACATATCTCTGTGACAAACGTGATATCATGCAATGTTTTACATTTTCAGACCACGTTCGTTTCTGCAGCTTCATAAAATAAAAAGAAACATCGTAATGTTTAGCGTCATCTTTTTGTTTGTGTTGGTGAGAAACAGAAAACAAACAGTTAAACGTACAGAGACTCACCCTTGTTTTTAAGATGTGTGACTTCAGTAAAAACCAAAAGAACCTGCGATGATAATAATAGTAATAATAATAATAATACAACATATGTACAGTGATCCCCTTGAATACTCCAAACTTACATTTATCAACAGGCATCAGCATGAAAATACTAAAATCTCCACTAGAAATGCTAATTTCTGTAGTTTTATCTTAAATACTTTTTTCTTTGACTTTAACTCTATTAATACTGAAAAAAAGTTATTCTCTGTTTTTGTTTGAAGGCTCGTATGCGTTTACATACACGATGAAAACATTTTCCTGAATTATTATGGCAAAAAACATTGTTCATAGGAGAATGAGAACAAACATCTACTCAGATATATCAATATACAGTCCTTTCACTTCCATCGATCCTTTGTTTTCTGTAACTACGACTAACTCTACTGTTCTCTCTCACTATATGCAGAACAATAATTATACCTGTGTTTAAAAAAGGGAAATATCTTTTGGGCCGCACGCAGGAACTCCTGTTGTGTTCCCGCGGCGGCACTGTAATCTAACTTTTTGTAATAAATACATTAAGGCCAAGAACATTAATAAATAGAAAATAACTTAAAAAAAGAAATCTCGTAAGCACTGTAGGTGTTGGGTTTTTAAAAAATACTTGAATCGTGGAGGATAGAGGCTCTTTTTTCTCAGTTTTTGTGGCTTTTTTCAGCTCTCGGAGAAGAAAAGATGGTTAAGATATTATTCAGACAAAAAAAAGGAAATCATCACCGCCCTCGACGTTCAGGTAAAAAGTCGGAGCACCTGGGAGCGGGCGGGGCTAGTTGTTGGTGTCATCCTGGCTGTGGGTGTGGCTCTTCTGCTGCAGGGGCGTGGCCGAGGGGCCAGGGGCGGCGGCGGTGGCAGCGGCGGCGGCAACAACAGCGGCGGCGGCGGTGCTGGTGGGTTTGATCCAGGACTGGGAGAGCAGTGAGGCGGCGGCGATGGTGGCGGTGGTCGTCATGGTGACCTGGATGAGCTGGTCGCGTTGGATCAACCTGATGAGAGCTTTGAGGCGTTCGAGCGAGGCCTGAGTGTCTCTCTGCTGCCCCAACAGTCTCTCTCTCAGGTCCATACACTGCTGCGGACACACAGGAAACAACACAGTCAACTTCCTGTCAGCAGAAACAGGCCTGCGTCAATATCAATCAGTTTGATTTATTAGAACTTTTGTTTTTGCAGGATGTGAAATATCAAGTTATGACAAGGTGCACCAAAAAGTTACTCTCAGTCTGAAAGTAATGTTGGCTGTCTTGAATCACGGCGGTCCTATAAACAAAGTCTTCGCATAATAACAATGCTTCTGAGTGTGTGTGTGTGTGTGTGTGTGTGTGTGTGTGTGTGTTGTTTTTACTTTGAGTGTGTCGTTGAGCTTCTTGTCTTGTTCTTCCAGGTGAGTGCACTCTTTCTTCAGCTCGTTGTTTCGTCTCAGCAGCCGTCGCTTCTCCTCCTGCCTCACTGCTCACACACACACACACACACACACACACACACACTTCATCAGTACAGGTATGAACAACACACACACACACACACTCACAGAGAATTCAGCTGGTTCTTACCTGTCTTGTGTGTAACGTAGGACTGAACAAAGTTCTGTGGCCACGACATGTTTTCTTTGTTCAGAACCTGAAGACCAGAAGGAGGTTGATTCATTAAAAAACACAGATTAATTATGTGTTTAAATGAATAAATGTTGCTGCAGAGAAGCTCCATAATCTAAAACGTGGTGGCTTCACACATCTTCAACAGAAGAGGTTTTGGATGAGCGGTACGCTGCAGGTCGTACCTTCTTCTGGCACTTGGGGCAGTACCAGGGTCCTCTGGGTGGGGTTTTGAGTGGCGGGTGGAGGCAGTTGGGGTGGAAGGCTCTGGGGCAGTTGTGGCAGGGCTGCAGCTCGCCGTCCTCCTTACAGACGGCACAGTGGTCGTCATGCTCCAAGTCCTCCTGACATGACACACACCACACAGAGAGGGTCACACTCGGCTCTTTACATGTCATCACAGAGTTGACGAGTTACATCACTGTTTTTAAATATAACATTACATACATGTAACATTTTACAACAGACTCAGTTTGTTTTATTAAAAGCTGAGAATAAAAAGGCCTCAGTGTTCAGTAGATGGATTAATGACTTGATGACAGGAACATTAAAGCTGTATGAGGTGAAGAGCAGCTGTGAGATGACACCATTTACTCTCAGGTTTTATAAAATAACACAGAGTCACTGTGTTTCCGACAAGTGTTTGGAAATAATTTTAAGTTGTGAGCTGAGCTTAAATAAAGATGTTCAAAAATTAACGATCAGACCAACAAGCAGTTCTGACTCCTGAAATTAAAATAGTATCTTCTTGTGATGCTTCTGGCAGGTTGTTGTTAATCTGAATCATCTGAAGCCTCAAAATTATCTTGTGTTTAACGAGAAAGAAAAAATAAGAAATGTATTTTCTCTCCACATCTGTTGATCGTCTCTTAACTACAAACTGTTTTAAAAGCTTCCATTTGATTTCTGCACACACACACACACACACACACACACACACACACACACACACAGACATAATAGAGGTGTGACATCATCAGTCATGTGACCTACCTTCCAGCAGAAATCCTCAGAGTCTAGCATGTAAATGAAGCAGAGCAGAGGTTAGTGGCCGCACACACAGACACACAGGTGAGAGGTGGAGCCATGCAGCAGGACATCAGTCAGTGGTTAGCTTAGCTTAGCTTAGCTTAGCATAAAGACAGGAAGCAGAGGGAAACTGCTAGCCTGCCTCTGTCCAAAGTTCACACACCTTGAAGGCTTTAAATAAAGATGTTAATATACATTCAGTTCAGCCCTGAAAGCTGATGCTGACTTTACATGAGCTGGTGTGTTTGGTGTTTGTGCTTCATCAGTTTGTGTTTAGTTTGTTTAGTGACTGTGTGTGTTTTTACCTCGTGCTGAAAGGAAGAGCGAGCTGTTCAGGTAATGTGACGCCAGACGTTTACGCTGCAAACAAACAAGAAGCAAACGAGATTTTGAATCCAAAACCTGAGACACAAAATGCACTAAATATAAAAACATCTAAATTTCCAGTAAAAATAAAACAGTTCAGTTAATCAAAGAGCCTCGACTCCACCTGTGAGGGTCTAACCAGCGTCACTGCTGTTTGTTAACTTGGTTAAATTTGATTCAATCTTAAATCAGACGATATTTAACAATGAGAGAAGTTTACTGACCTCTGGTTCAAAGAGGCCGCTGTAGGCTGGGTTGGCTGTGCTTCGTCTCTTCCTCTCCTGTCGCTTCGTCTGGATTTCTGTTCCAAACAAAAACACACTTTTTATAAAACATCTTCAGGTTACAGAAAGAAACGTTTCATTGTTCGTAGGAATGAAGCAGACGGACCACTCATCATGAATCTAACTCTCAGTCTTTATAGAGCTTTAAAAGGTTCTATCTTCGCTTTCGTCTGTCATCACTCAACATTTATTTCACATGTATTTAAAAACGAAATCTGCTCTCAGATCAGTGGAGACACTCAAAGACGATGAAGTGAAGTGAACTCACCCTCCAGGTGTTCTGTGGTGACGAGGCCGAGGGCGACCATGAAGGCGATTTTCTGTAACACACACACACACACACACACACACACACAGAAGATGTTAATGAAGAGGAAGAAGAAGAGGAGGTGAAGAGTTTCAGGCTCTCAGCGTCTGATTCAAGAGTTCCTCACTGAAGAGAAAATATTCATGCCGATCTGCAGCTGAGCTCCTCTTCACACAGGTGACATTTAATATCACAGAGATAAAGAGACACTCAAGATGAGAGATGTGACTGAGCGTCTGCTGTCACTGATCAATTCATCAAGTTAGATGCTTTAAAACTTTGTTTATTTTGTGGCTTTTTTTCTGGGAACCAATATTTGTCTTAACAGCAGATCATTTAATTCCCCTTTGACAGTTTTGGCTGAAGCCTTTTAATTGGTGAAATACTTTTTTTTAAATGAACATTTTCAGATATTTCACAGTTAATTCTCTGCAGAGACGTCGCAGGACTCAACAGCTGTGTGTTGGATCCAAGATTACTGATCACAATCGACCCTGACACATGAAGACAACAATCAGCTGTTGGTCAATGTTGCCCGTCGGTGAGCGCCTGTTGCCCTGGTTTTTTGCGACGTCTCTCACACCGTTGGCACTTGTCAGTATTTTTTTCAGCCGATTCAGCATGTTATATTGGCATTGATCGGAAGATCCCGTCGGTGAATGAATACACTCTGATTGGCAGTTCAGCTCAGCGCAAGAGAAGAGAAAAGAAAGTGAGGAAAGTAAACAAAAAAACTACAGTCACGAGAGTGTGAGACCAAAACAACATTGTTACATGAGGTAAGATTCATTTTTTTAGCCACTGAGCTAATTAGCAGAAACAGTTTGTAGTTATTTACTGTAAACTGGCACATGACGAATATTTTTTCTTCTTTCCACATCAGGTTGTGTTGTTTATGTAGCAACTGGCTAACGGGCATCTTGAATACACCCTGTTGGTTTTACTTGTTTAATAGCGATTACAGACTACAGGAGTGTGCTGGTACATGCTGCTTCTTCGTTGGCCGTAGTCTTTGTGGTGCGTTCAAATGCAACACTCCCTGATCACACTTTTTTCCTACTTATCATTACATTAATTTAACTTTTTTAAGGGGATGATTAAAGGAAAAAAACTGTTAAGAAATCTTGATTTTCTTTTTCTTTTTTTTCATTACATAACTTAACTTTTAACCAAATGTAGATGTGTTTAACTTTTTGGCCGAGACACAGGCGACGTGAGGCGACGCATCAGTCAACCTCTGTCGCTAATAGTTCTTTGATGTTGGTTTGTTGTTTGTGCCTAATGATGATGTTACAGCTGTTTAATCAAACTGAAACTTTGTTTTGTGCAAAATAATTCTGAAGATAAATTAATTATTTAAAAAATGTGTTAAAACGACAGTTTGTGTTTGGACATGAGTCATAAACTTATGCTGTAGTTTAATTTCTCACCTCGGGGTCCTCGTCTTTCTTCTGGGAGGGGGACTTAGGAGCGGGTGGGGCCTCCTGTGACGGGAGGTCAGCCTGGGCCCCTGGGGACCCCTCAGTGCTGCTGGGGGCCTGTGGCTGGATTATTATCACCTGGTAACACAAACATACAGAGAGCACGTTAGAGTGAAACACTGGAGCTGCAGACAGGATGAGACGGTTATCATTTAATTTCAGTTATTAAACACTGATCACACTTTTTTTCTTCTTATCATTATATTAATTTAACTTTTTGAGAGATGATTAAAAGAAAAAAATGATGCTAAGAAATCTTGTGAGGAACGTTTCTTAATTTTTTTTAAATTAAATTTCATAACGTTTAACCAAATGTAGATGAGTTTAATTTTGTAGACAGAATCAGAAATATTGAAATTAATCAGATCAACAAACAAGAAGACAAATTTTATGATGAATTTTATCTTGAAAGAAAAATTTAAAAAATCTGAACTGAATCTTAAAATCCATCCAAAGTGTCAGAATAAATAAGTATATTGTTATATAAATATAAGTATCAGTTGGTGTTGGTGGAGACACCAGCCTTGTTGTCAGCGCTGAAGAGCAGTGGCTGCACCTTGACGGCCTCGCTGACGGCTGACACCCCGTTGCCGGTGGCGGGGGAGGCAGCGATGATGGCGTACGCCACGCCAGGCCCCGCAGAGGCGTGCTGAGCGGGGCCACCAGAGTCTGGGGCTCCCGACGGGCCGTGTGGCGGGGCCGGGGGCGACGAGGCGTCGCTCTGGCCTTTGGGCTGGTGGTCGGGGCTGAAGGTGCTGTTGGCGGTGGGCAGGGTGGGGCCCTGGCTCTTGGGACTGACCACGGCGGTGGCCCTCTGCAGGCTGAGAGGCTGCAGCTCCTGACAGGGACTGTGGGGGAGGCTGTCGGGGATCTGGGTCTTTGGCCTGACCTGGAGGAAGAACACAGAGGAAGAGCGCTGTTAAACACAGACAGGTAGAGAACTACGAGTCTGCAGACACAACAGGAAGTGGAACGATTTTTATTTTAAGTCAAATAAAAACCTCCTGACTGATTAAAAACATCATATTTGACTCTAATAAAAGATGTTTCACTTGTTGTTTCAGTGATGGATCAGAAAAAAAAAAACTGAACTTAACATTTCATCACACACACTGACGCACACACTCGAGGTCACATCGTCCAGACGTGAGCGGACTACTGATGCTTCCTGTCGTCCAATCAGAGGACAGAGTGGACCCCTGAGTGGAGTCATTACAGCAGATATCTGTCCTCACACTGTGAATATCACTGACTCATGTTAAAGACCATCTCTGCTGTTTGATTCACTCTGAGGCTGAGTGTGTTTGTGCTGCCACCTGGTGGACGTCTGACGACACTGCAGCTACAAATATCAGCAGACGACTGTTTTTAAAGCTTTTAGTCTCTTTAGTTGCTTCTAATTATTTTTTTAACATGACACAAACTATTGTGATCATCTGTTTATAGTTTAAGACATTTATTGAGCAAAAATACAATTTTTTGAGGGATTCTCAGGTGTGTTTTCTGCTTGTCTCTGTTTCATATCTCAGTGAACTGAGTATCTTTTAGTTTTAGACTGTTGATCGGACAGTATTATTCACATTTCATTTCAAAAACATGAATTTTACACATTTCTTATTGTTAATTTCTATTTTATATTACGATTCATGACTTCTGCAGCACTTATTAATTTTTTATTTTACTGTGTTTATTGTAATGCACCAACACACAAAGACAAATTCCTTTTATGTGAAAACCTACTTGATGATAAACCTGATTCTGATTTATGAAATCTGAATTAAGTGTTATTTAAATATTTAATTATTTAAAATATTTAACTTTCTTTTTTACCTCGCTATTAGCAAAGAGGAGTAAAGTCGTCTCTGTCTGACAGTTGAGTTTTCTGAGGTGGAATGAATAATTACAGCCTCACAGAAAGAAGGTGCAACATGAATGTTTGTGTCTCCACACACTGTAATGACCTCAGTAAACATGTGACAGCTGTGTCCCTGAGTTGTAACCAGGTGCTGAGAAGTTACCTGAGGTAGCACAGTGGCTGCTTGTCCTGCCAGCCGGTGCAGGGAGCTGACTTGAGGCACCTTGATGGGCACAGCTGTGAGAGTTCCCAGCATCTGAAACACACACAAACACAACACTTGGATAAATCATCAGTGAAAACACCATATTCTACCGTTTTATACAAACAGGAAATGACACATTTAAGCTTCTTAAACTCATAGATCAGTTGTGTTTCTGGAAATAGAGAAAAATGCAGATCTGACGTTTTAAAGTTTCTTTTTTTTTGTCCGACGCTCTTTACTACAGTGTGAGAAAAAACAGCCCTGAGAAATGACTGTCACGATTAACACATAACCAAAACAGTAGCTGATTAACATTCCCACAATGCACTGCAGGGTGTCTTTCAGTCTGTGGGAGACGGGAGACTCTCTGAGGTATTTAAAGCCCTGGACACCAGTGTGGGAGCTGTGAATCACAAACCAGTCAAACCAGTGGAAACAGAACAAACAGAAAACAGGATGATGACGCAGCAGTACACTTGGGAGGGGTTTGATTAAATATAATCAAATTTCAGTTGTTGTAGTAACCACCACAGACCACAAGGGGAGCCCCTGACAGACCACACATACAGTAGAGGACCAGACACCAACTGCATGCTGGGAAATCCACATTTATCATGGAGGAAACAGAGATATCAAGGAAAGAATAACAGGGAAACATCTTAAAGAAAACAGTCCCCAATCCAAATTAAGTTTATGGAGTTGAGATATGTTCGTCATATTCATGATGGCTGCCTCACATATCTAGCGTCCATTTTGGATTTCTGGTGTGTCCTCCAGTGGAACAGTGACACAAGTAGTACAAAGTCAAACATGTGAACAGTTGCATTTACAGCTCAGCCAGATGTCTGCATGAACGTGTGGCTAAAAGCAAATATATCCCGATGTTTAAATGTCTCATTTAATGAAAGTGTCTTTTACTTCTTGAAAGATTCTTTAAATGATGAAACCTGCAGCGAGAACAAACAGAATGAGCTCAAACAAGACGACAGAAACTCGTCTTCTGTTGGTTTTAGTAAAATAAAGTCAGGAGCTTTAACACGAGTCTTGCTCAGACAGATTTTTTACAGTGTGGAGGATTTCCTCTGAGAGACGACGCAGCGCTTCACATCCCAGAATAACAGCCAGCTGTAATGAGACTCTCCACCTTCACCATTAAATCACAGTCAGCTGATGAAACCAGGTGACACTAACGCTGCTTTAATCTGGTTCAACCTCGCAGAGTCTTAATTAAACCTGGAGTGTGAACCTCTCGTTAGTCAGAGGACGGGTCTTTTTTCCTGCAGTAAAAACAGCCGAAACAACGACGAGTTTAAGTTTAGCTTAAACAATATTTAAGTAAATTAAACAATCTAAAGATATACATTTAAAATAAAATAATTAAATGAGCTTTAATGAGGATAAATGTTGTATTTCTGTGTTTGAGCTGCAGCTGTTGAAGGTTTCTGTGCTCTTGCATGTTTCCTGCGCTCAGGTTCAGACTGTAGCTTCAGTCAAGGTCAAACCGGCGCTGACGTTAACGGCTGACCGACACATAAACTACGGTGAAGCGTAGAGGACAAACTACAGCAGAGAAAGTGACGGAAATACTCGTCAGAGAAAAAGATGAGATTATTTTTCATGTGTGTTTTGGATTGATGGATTCTTTATTAATCCCAGAGAAAATGTTTCTGTTACAGCTCAGAGCAAAAAAATACACAATATAAAAAACCCATTTAACACAAGTGGGAAATATTTAATAGTTCTTGTTGTTCTCTTATTTATCGTGCGTGTATTTTGGGAGCTGGACGGCAGCTGCAGGTGTAAATAAAATAAAATTGTACTGAATTGATTCGGAGGACTCAATAACTCAAATAAAACTTTAGAAATCATTTCCTCCTGTGTGCTGTTTTTCTCATACTGATGCTGTCAGAACTCAACATGCACTTTAACTCACTGGCCTTTAAGTTCAGCTGCTGTGTTTCCTCTGAAGCCTGCAGTTGTTTCCTGTCTATCTCTGCAGAGTTTACTGTCTCTGTGTGAATCGCCGACAGCGAGTGATTTTTGTTTTTACGAGATTTTTGTTTTGTGTCTCTGCTCCGTGACACTTTGTTTTAACTGTGTTGTGTTTAAGGACACACAGAAACACAGTTAAAGTGAGTTAAAATGTGATTTACCTGCTTAAACAGCATTGTTTCAGTCCAATAATAACTTTATTTATCTGTATTAGTTCATGAATAAAGACGCTCAGTCTTGTCTTGTTATTGATAATAAAACGTTGTAAATGTCGACAGAGGAACAGAAAAATGTGTTAAGTAACATCACTGTGTCATCTCTGATGCTGAGTCTGTGATTGGCCGACACTTCCTGTCAATCTAAACTGAACCTGGACCAGTTAAACCAGTAACGATAACAATCTCCTTCATGTTTCCTCTCAGCTGCTCGTCTCCAACAGAAAAGAAATCAGAAGCAAAGTTTCCTCCTCCTCCTCCTCCCCCCTCTGGATCACAGCTCACCCCCCCTCCCCTCCTTTCTTCTTCTGTGAAAATCCCTTCGTTCCATTGTATTGTGCTGCAGAGCAGCTCGGAGACGAGGAGGAGGAGGAGGGGGAGGAGGCCCAGGCCTGTTCCCATGGCAACTGCAGAGATGAAAATTCTTGCAGTGCAAGGGCTTTCATTTTCGTAATTGCTTCCTCTTTTCTCCAAACCTAAGCACCTTCTCTTTAGGGGGCCTCCTCCTCCCCCTCCTCCTCCTCTTCCTCCTCTGCTCCGGTGTGAGTAGTGAACACAACCTTGGATCACTGATTTCCTGTTTCTTTTTTTTCAATGATTTCTTTTTCCAAATACCAAAGTCAATACTGTCGCTGAGACAGATGACAGCTCTGCAGCAAACACTAACAATCCTCCTCCTCCATCTTCCTCACCCCAGGTCTCACAAACCTGCTTTGATAAACCAGAAGTGTAGAGAGTGTGTACATGTGTTATACAATACGTCAGTGAAGAAATTACACAGTTGCTGAAATGTTTTCCTCCTCTGATGAAACTAGGCTAACAGTTTCCCTCCACTCCAATTCTTTGTGCTAACTCTGATCACATTACACAACTGACTGACTTCTGACTGACTTCTAATGAATCTTGAAGTTGTGGTTACCACATTACATGAGTGATTGTCAACAAGGCGTCACACATTACAAGAGATTTCACCTGGAGGAATCCCCGACAAGTCTGTCAACAAACACACGAGAGGAGTGATACATGATACAGGCAAGTCTACGTGTCTCTAGCCCTTTTTAAACAGGAGTTGTGCAAATTTGCAGGAAAGCCCAATCAGTGTTTTTTCAGCATTGGCAGTATAAAAACAAAATCAGGGAGAAAAAAAAACGCCTACCTACCTAATGCCGTTTATACAGAATGTGCCTTTTTCGGGGCAATGGGGGGCGTGAGCAAGTAACAAAACGTGTAGCTCAACATGTGACGTAAACAGTGACATGGGAGGGAAGCCGAGGCTGGTCAGTCCTTCGGCGATTCTCTCATAAGTCGGCCCGTTCTTCACCGTCCCCGTCATCTGACGGTTAATGGCCTCTTCGTTTGCGAGGACAAGGAGGACGCACAATTCCTTGTCTCCCCAGTTGCTCATCTTTACAGTGTCTGTAAGGTTTGTGTTTCCCTCTTGCTACTAGCTGCTCGCTAATTCCTGCTATCAGCTGTTTCCTGTTTATCCACCGCCAGTGGCTCGCACGTGCAGTGTCATCAACAGCTCCTCCCACAAGTCATCAAGAGCCCCTCCCATTGCGGAAGGCCGCCTCGGTCTGTTTAAACTAAAAGGGTTCCGCCAATATGTCTACCCTACGAGGCGGAAAATTGGACACCTCGGATCAACTCGCCAATCCGGCTCTGTGTGTCTCGCAGCTTGCCGTCAAAATGGCCCAACATTCGCGGAATATCTGGCAGTGTGAAAGGGGCTAGTTCCTCCTAAAATGGAGGTCAGCACGAAACCAGCAATCCAAGTTGTGTGTGCACTGATTTGTAGCAAAAAGAAGCAGAAGGACAGAACACGGAGGAGAGAACAGCTGGAGAGACGCAGGCCACAAAGATCGTCTGCTCTGCTGTCTGATGTTTTGTTGCAGGTGTTCTGACTCCTCCCCTCATTGTTTCCATCGCCCTGTATCTTGCGCTCTTGGTTGTCGCAGCTGTCTTTGCCGGTCAAAATTAATTTCACACACAGGTCCAGATATTTAACCTGCTGGATATCTCTCAGGTGCCTGTGTGGCATTGGCGTTCTGGGCGCATATTTCTGTCCGAATCCGACCTGAACCCGATGAGAATTCTGTTGTTAATGTCCAAACCTTTCTTGAGCTCAATGCAGTTAATGTAAAGAAAACACTTCACTCCGTGCTGCTGTCGAAACATTCAGACAACCCTCTTAACACCGCTGCATCCATTTTCTTCCTCCAAACCAAAAGGTGAAGCAAGGGGTCCTGTTGGGTCCTGTTGGGTCCTGTTGGGTATGCACACTCTAATGGACCTTTCTCAGTTGCCTTTTGGATTGGGGTCTCATTTTTTTGTAGACTTATGTTTTGGTTATCGTTCGTTTGAAGATTTTCTACATTTCTGCTTCAGATTTTGAACCCGTAAATACTACTTCTCAGTAGCAGAAACCCTCGGTGCTGCAACTGGTGTCTGGAAGCTCTAGTGGATATGTAGTGGGTACATTTCAAGTTCAGGATACAACAACACTGTGGATGATTAGGTTGGGGCCGAAAAGCCTCTTGGTTAGGGTTAGGAAAAGATCTTGTTTTGGCTTTAATTACTCAGTTTTGGGGGGAATAATCCCGGCTGGAAACGGCGCGATGTCTCAGATAAAACAACTGCTTTTTTTGTGGCACTGTCTCAGTGGAAACACAGCGACCAGTGCTCAAACAGCACCAATGTTTGGAGGCAAAAAAAGCATCTGGAAATGAAAGGATTCTCTAAAACAACCACTTTTGTTGTTTGTTGGTTTTGAACAGTGGTCTGCAGCTTGGCAGGCGTCTCGCCAAGGTGACACACCATCCACCATAAGCCATAAAGTCAGCT